ATATTAGAAATATCAAGTGATAGTGATAATTATTGATAAATGTATATAATAGTTATAGAAAATAAAATCATTATTAGCATTAGTTTTTATGAATTCACATCGCGTGTATTTGATTACTATATATATACATATAGATCATTATACGTATTATATATATATACTATACGTATATATGTACTATGTGCATAGTACGCATAGTACGCATAGTGATGAACTATGTGCACATTTACCCATCTCTAGATAAGTCATAATTATTGAATTTTCTTAGTGTCTTATTCTTTTGATTGTTAATTTTGTTGGCCGCATCAATAAGTCTAGTCTTTTTCTAAATTATTGATAATGAGCAGAAACCATTCATATTCCTTGAGATTGTTAAATTCTGTTCAGTATTCTTTTCTCAGCACAAAGTTACCGCAGATGGTCTTTAGAATGATTAGAGAGCCCCTCTTCTCACCCATCATTATGTTGCATCCTACTTTTTAATATCTTTAGGAGGTAGTGTAATAGTATAGTACATATATTGGAAACTTATATTAATATATATTAGTTAACATCTTGCAAAAGAATTGACTATTTGGAAAAGCTAAATTCATTAATAAAAGGACAGGGCTAATCAAATAATAACAATATTTTAATGAGTTATTTTATTGTGAAGCCTTGCCTTATGAAACAAGATTGAAATTGAGTTAATCATTTAAATCAAATTTAATCATGGTGATCATTTGGATATTATAATAAAATAATTGTCCTTTTTAATGAATATATAAATGACAAAATATAAACATATTAATTATGTCATATGTATATAATAAATATACATGTTATAAATGACAGATAATGATATATTACGACAGAAAAATTCTTCTTTTACAAAATACTAGCGATCAAATCATAATATTACACTACAACAAGATATGTTAAATGAAAATGAAAATTTCCAATAAAATTTAGGGTCTTTGAATATTTTTACATAAACATAAGAAGGGAAATGTTTGAAAGAATTGTAATTGTAGAAACTTCAAGAAGCAGAGATGGTATTCAGTAATTTGATTTGTTTCACAGAAACTTATTACCTATTATTTACTTTTCTATATTAGGATGTGATGTACATGTAAATACATGCAGATCAACTTGTTTCATTTCACATGAATCAATAAAAATTTGATCAGAACTTCCCATTTATAGAATTAAATGTTGTTTATTTAGAACCTATCACTATGAGATTATAAATATTCTTTATTGTCGTTCAATTCACATTTGAACCTTTCATTATAGCATATTTTCTCATGACTCTAAATATGACCAAAAGTCTGTTTGGTTGCAATAAAATAATTTATTCAAATATCTTTTTTAGCTGCAGCCATATTTTTTTTTGGTAAAAACATTTGATTATACAATACTCAAATATATTGAATTTGCAATTTTTAGTCACATTACTACCATGTGTTGAGGTAGAGAAAAGGGAAAAATTATGCATCTATTGCTATAAAAGTTTGAAATTGTATATTAATATCTTTAACACCATTATTTTATTGTAATTTGATACTGACTTATCTTTTTTGCTCAGAAAGTAAACTTATAAGAAGTCATAACCTCTTTAAAACTGTTTCCAAAGGTTTTTATGTACTTGTAGGTTTAGTGTTTAAACATTAAAGTTCTTAAATAATAAAATAAGTTATCATTTTCCTACACCATAATGCCATAGTCCTTAAATTGTTATATCTAACCAATTAGACAATTAGATAAGAAATCCTTAATTATAATAACATAATTTTCTGCTTAGTTGTAAAATTTAATAGGACAAATTTTAAATACGAATATTTAATTGCTCATATTGTAAGTGTTAAATCTCGAATTCATTATCATGCTCAATTAAAGTGACTTTTAGATTATGAAAATATTATGACCGAATAAGTTATACAATATATTCAAATTAATATATAGTAAATCGTAATCTCCGAAAATTAATTTAATTTTTAATAATCTTTTATTATATACATGTACCATTTGACTTCTGTGTAAAGTTACCGCAGTAACAATAAATTCCGTAATTCCTTAATTTCTTCCTAACACGAAAATCGCGACTGTATCCACATGGAATTATTCTGGAGTAATTAGAGTGATCTACATCCAGAGTACTACGATTTAGAATACTTTTCCCTCATAAAATATTTTCGCCAATAAATTGTGAATACTATTAAAGTTCAAGCCAAATATTTCTCGGATATTCTGCATACATTTCTATATATTAAAAGATTTAAAACAAAAATTTATTATGCGTTGCTAGTATTGTTTATAACTCTCAATCATTCAATTTGTAATGTATGATTCTCCGGTGCTTATTTCGGAATTCTAAATGTTCAATGAAATTTTTTAACTAGGACGGCATATTCACTTCGTTTTTGAATAATAAAAATGTAATAAAATGATATACTTTCTCGTTTCAACAGATTATATGATTTTAACTGTTTACATATTCATTAAAAAACAATATTCATTTTTAATTTTGTAAAGTAGGAAATAGGTGATTTCTATTTACTATAGAAATCATCGATGATTGAAGAAGAATACCCGTACAAGATATTGTCTAATTGCATGCATATTGAGATACATGTATACGACATGCAAGCGCCCATTTTATCGTTGAGATTTATACACGTAAATTTCAAACGATTTTATTCGTTTTTAGAAATTATTTTTCTATACTGTCTGTACCTACCAACTAATTTATCATTCTTTCGAAGAGACTATGAAGCGCATTTACGTTTATTCAATCAACATGCCAAATAAAACGTCAGAGAAACAGCAAAGTGCTAGAGAGAATTGCTTATGAAAACTATATCCTGATTATAGTTATAAACCAAAAAATGTAAGAAAACAATAAGAAATGGGTTTTTCGTGAACATAAGAAATACAAATTTACTTCGGTATCCATGTCTAGCTGAGCGAGTAATGGCTCATTTAGAAGTAACACAAATCTTTAGGTCGTTCTCTTTAAATGATACAACATCAATAACTGGATACAATAATGCTGCCATCTCCACTTCAACAACCATGGTAAATACTGTTAATGAAACCGGAAATTCGATTGACGACGCGTTTAATGAGCTTTCATTATAATAATAATATCAATGCGGATATTTATGAAACTCTTCAATGAATCTTTATGGGTGATCATAATAATGTCTCGATCAACAATTCTTTACCGTTAACCAATTCATCACTGATAATCTAATATTACTACTTTTATTTTCACCCCGTTAGAATCTCAGCCTCTTTTCCAAGGATATGATTTATTAAATATACTATGTGTATTAAACATAAACAAAGATCTCCCTCGACAAAGAAAATTCTGGTAAAAAATTTCATTTAATCAGGAATAAAGATGACCAGTTTACTTGATTAAATAATTGCATGTTATTTGTCTGTTGATCTTTTTTTAGCGACGGCGGCGTAAAAAAGTTTTTGTCACCGACCTTGTCAATCCGGCCAATCAGCATCAGTATGCATATCATACCATTTTTGACTTTTTCGAGTACATGTATCGGAGGTAAAACCCGAGATTGTCAACGATGTGTAACAATTTTTAAAATGGGTGTTGGGCGATAGGGGTAACATTGGTAACAATTTTTTCTTAATCTTATCAATTAAAATGCTGCATAATAAGGTTGTGGCCGAAGACGCTGCAATAAAACATTTGGCTAAAGAAGTCTACATTCATCTTACATTGGTGATTGATTATATTAGTTATGGGATAAACTATTTAATATCATTGATACTAAATTATTTTTTTGGGCATCCGAAACCAAGTCTTATCCACACTCCTACACCAACATTTCATCCTGCGGTATTAGTAACAGGAACTTCCGTTGGAATAGGAAGAGATGTAGCATTGACTTTGGCAAAAAAAGGTTATACAGTATTTGCTGCAGTGCGTAAATATGAAGATTTTGAATTATTGCTTCAACAATTTAGCGAAATGATACATGAAAACCATGAAACACTTGGAACACTTCGCTGCGTCATAATGGACGTTACGAACTATAATGATAGGCAAAGGGCATATGATACTATACGTCTTGCTATTTCTCGTGATACTCCATTCATAGGCTTACTGAATATTGCAGCAACAGTTATTTATCTGCCTGTTGAAGTTGCTTCGGATCTAGCAGTTCATGACACCTTCGAAACTAATTTATTTAGCATAATCCATTTGACGAAGTTATTTCTACCGTTATTAAGGGAAAGTCGTGGAAGAGTTGTAAATATTGGGAGTATTTCCGCATGGAATTCTACTTCATCGATGGCCCTATATGCTGCCTCTAAAGCCGCTTTAAGAGCTCTTACTCGTACTTGGAGGCAAGAAGTTCGTTCATTGGGAATTGATATGATCCTAGTGGAACCAGGTAATTAAATTTAATACAAGATTGGAACAATCAAAATTAATGCCTGTCATTAATTACGTGTCTGTTAGGCGTGATTGATACCCGATTCACTCAAAAAGTACATCGGAATTTCCAAGAATTTACCGGATTCTCAACAAATTCTCCTTATAACGAAACGCTTCAGAATATTAGCCCGAGCACTTTAGATATCTATGAAACACAATTCAAAATCGTTGGAAGGTTATGCGATGAAGTGATCGATACAGCAGCTCCTCCTGGTCTTGTCTCCGATGCTATTTTACACGCTTTGACTTCTCTGTTCCCAAAAACTACCTATTATGTTGGTATGGATGCTAAAGTCTTGGCATCGTTGAATTGGTTGTTAGGCGACCGTCTTTCGGAGGCAATACAAGCAAGGATATTTGGTTTTTAAAACTTTATCAAAATGAATAAACGTTATTATTAAAAGTTCATGTCTTTAATACATTATATTTTCGTTAATTAACGTTAAAAAAAAACCTTTTAAAGATCAATTAAATGTATATTTTTGAAAACAGATGCATACATACATATACATGTAGTAACAAATTTGAGTTAATCGAATATAATTCATGTTTAATTTTCCTCGTAAATTATTGTTAGTATTTGTATTTTCGTGTTCTACGAGCTCGCATGGGAGGTTATTCTGTGCCCGCTCTTATGATATTTACGGTATTTTTCCGGGCGGTCTTTAGAGTGGCTAGCATATTAAAAACATAAATTTTAAAGTTTAACTTTCAAACAAAAAAAGAATAAAAGTTTATACTGTAATTTTTTGAAAATTGTAAAAATTGTAAATTTTCTTCTCATTCATCTTTGGTGCTTGGTAAGAAGATGTCTGTTTTTTGTGCCATTCATTTTTCAATTTTGCATGATTCAGTATTTTTTTGTATTGTTTTCATCATGCAAAATTTCATTTTTTTCAAATTGGTTCTTATGATCAAATACATGTATTGTTTACAGTTTAAATTCTATTTTACCATGAATTTTTAATAATTGATGATAATTTTATGTTAATAATATTACTAACAAAATTCTATTTGATTCTGTAAAAATTTTCCTACAATATTATTTGTATTTATAAACAAGTTCACTACTTACATATAGTAAGAAAGAATTTGAAAATTACTATTTTGGTTTGACAAAAAAATTCATTCTTAAAATTTTTATTCATTTTTATTAAAAATTAATATTTTGAGAGTATAAAATTTTTATTTTTTTTAAATATTGCTTAATTAGTTTCATATTTAAATTTAATATAGTCCATAATAATATATTAAGTTACTATTAAAATCTTTAATTACAAACATAAATCTGAATAATTAAAATAATGATTTCTTTTCATATATTGTTAAAGAGGCTATTTACACTCATATAACAAAACTGCTAATATTTTATATTAAATAATTGCATTTAAAACAATCCAAATATCATGAAAAGCTCTTGCTAATTGCAACTTCATATTTAACAAGTTAATTTTATATATTTAAAATAGCTTATTATAATTATATCAAATATAGTTATTATAAATATTTCTGTTATAGTTATTATTATTATAATTATACAAAGAATAAAAAAACTTTTTTTTTCTAAATAATAATAATTCCTTAATTAAATTTGAAAAATATTTTAATAAATTTCTTATCTTGTAAATCTTAGTTATTTTTTATGAAAAATTTATCTTAATAATTTAATATAAATTATATTTTTATATAAATTATTTTAAATATTAAAATTTTATTTAAATATTTATATATAAATAAATATATATTTTAAAAGTTAATAGAATTATATA